GTTTAGGGTTTAGGGTTTGGGGGCATTTCAGGGTTTGCGGTTTGGGTATTCGGGGTTTGTGGTTTAGCGTTTAGGGTTTGGTGTGTAGGGTTTAGGGTTTAGGGTTTAGGGTTTAGGGTTTAGGGTTTAGGGTTAAGTGTAAATGTGGATTATGTTTTTTTATTGTTTAAGAAGCTATTTAATTGTTCCACATAATTATTTTATTCAATTATTTATTTCTTTTGCTCAGCTCTTTTTAAATTAATTTAACTACTTTATTTAATTATTTGTTAATTAATTAATTAATTAATTAATTAATAGTTCATTTAATTAATTAATTAATTAATTTAATTAATAATTATTATTTCAACAGCAAATTAATTAAAAATAAAAGACTTAATTCCTTTATTTCCACTTAAACAAATTAATTTATTTTAGTTTTGTTATTTTTTCATTATAGTATTTATTTTTTTTTAAATTATAATATAAATTTAGAAACCAAAATATTATTAAAACAATAAATTTATTAAATTTATGTTTATATTTAATTCATATTTATATTTATATTCATATTTATATTTATTTATATTTACATTTATATTTCTACTTACATTTATATTTAATTTAATCTATTTTAATTTAATTTGATTTAATTTAATTTAATTTAATTTAATTTAATTTAATTTAATTTAATTTAACTTAATTTAATTTAATTTAATTTAATTTAATTTAATTTAATTTAATTTATTTTATTTATTTTATTTATTTTATTTATTTTATTTATTTTATTTATTTTATTTATTTTATTTGCAGATTAGAGAAGATTTAATTACCCAAGTTGATGTGGGGCCTTTTAAACACAAAATCGACGGAGGGCTGCGGCTGCGGAAAGCAGCATTTGCTGCTCTCGCCCAAATTGCTGCTGCTGCTGCTGCTGCTGCTGCAGCAGCAGCAGCAGCAGGGCCCTTCGCGGCAGCAGCAGAAGCAGATGCAGCAGCTGCAGCAACAGCAGCACCAGCAACAGCAGCAGCACCAATAGCAGCACCAACAGCAGCAGCAGCAGCAGCACCCGCAGCAGCAGCAGCAGCAGCAGCACCCACAGCAGCAGCAGCAGCAGCAGCAGCAGCAGCAGCAGCAGCAGCAGCAGCAGCAGCAGCAGCAAGTCCAGTGCCTCTGGCAATGTTGGTGAAAGCAATAGAGTTGAGTTTGTCGGAAAGAAATGAAGAAATTATTTTTGCAGAAGGAGAAATGATGAAAGTCATTTCCCAACACTTGACTCTTTGGCCACACGCAGACTTGCTGCTGGAGTAAGTTAATTAATTAATTAATTACATAATTAATTAATTAATTAATTAATTATTCATTAATTAATTTCATTTAATTAATTACTTAATTAATTAATTAATTAATTAATTAATTAATTATGTAATTAATTAATTAATTAATTAATTAATTAATTAATTAATTAATTAATTAATTAATTAATTAATTATTCATTAATTAATTTCATTTAATTAATTACTTAATTAATTAATTAATTAATTAATTAATTATGTAATTAATTAATTAATTAATTAATTAATTAATTATGTAATTATTCGCTTAAAGCGAAAATGCAAAGAAAGAAAATAAATAAATCAATTAATTAAAGTAAGTGAATTAATTAGAACAATAATAAAAATAAACTAAAAATAATTAAATTTAAATAATTAAAATAATTAAAATAATTAAAATAATTAAAATAATTAAAATAAAAATAATTAAAATAAAAATAATTAAATATTTTCTTTATTTGTTTTGCTGCTTCCAGATTGCCCAAACTGGGGCCGCCGCTGGAAAAGGCCCGGCAGCGGCTGCTGCAGATCGTGCGCTCAGCAGCAGCAGCAGCAGCAGCAGCAGCAGCAGCAGCAGCAGCAGCAGCAGCAGCAGCAAAGGGCCCCCAGGCTGCTGAGGCGCTGGGGTGTATTCGCAGGTCGCTGCAGCAGCTCGCAGACAGCATGGAAGCAGAAGGCATTTCTGTTTTGCCAATTCAAGAGGCTCTTGAGAAGTATAATTCAGAGCCAGCCGAAAACTAGGGTTTAGGGTTTAGGGTTTAGGGTTTAGGGTTTAGGGTTTAGGGTCGGGGCAAGGGTTTAGGGTTTAGGGCTGCCATTCGAGGCTCGGGGCGGCTGCGTTTCAGCGCCTTGCTGCGTGAGGGTTTAGGGTTTGGGGTTTAGGGTTTAGGGTTTAGGGTTTTTGATGAATCATCACCGTGTATAGATGAGGCACTATAAACCCTAAACCCTAAACCCTAAACCCTCACAAAAGGTTTCAAGTTTGAAAATCCGCAGGCTTTATGCGCAATAAATATGAATATTTACAAATATATGAAATGTTCATATTTGCAAATATTTATTTGCAAATATATATTTGTAAATATGCATATTTTAAATGTAAATATATTAATTGAAATAAGTGAACAAAGATTTCCAAGGTGTACATACACAGAGAGTCTGCGTTTTTCCCTTTTTCCACTTCGATGGGCTGAAACCGACGCAGAAAGCTAGGGTTTAGGGTTTAGGGTTTAGGGTTTAGGGTTTAGGGTTTGGGGTAGTTTTTGCTGCGAGGCATCAGGAACTAGGCGTTCGGGTTTCGGTCTAGGGTGCAGGAGGCGGATAGCATCGAAGCTGCTTCAGAAAATGATGAAATAGAATTCTTTTTATTAAATGAATTTGATCGAACATAATTAAAAAGAGTTTTAATTAATCTGATTGAGAATAACTAACCAGAGTTTCAGAACAAGCAGCGCAGCGGGAGCTGCGAGCTGCACATACACCCGAGCAGCAGCACTGCGCCACTTCTGAACAAGCGCGATCATGGATCTTCGGGGGTGAATTTCTCGTTTTTGAATTTAAAAATAAAAAGACTTTTCGAATTCTTTTTCAAAAGTGCATTACTGACAGAAAGCAATGAGAGGAGCAGCAGCAGCAGCAGCAGCAGCAGCTGCCTTTTGCTGCTTCTGCGCCCGCAGCAGCAGCGCCTCCAGACTGCAAATTCGCGAAAAGTTTTTTTCACAAATCGCCGCAGGAGCTTTAAGTGGAGCTCTTGGCCCTTTAGTGCAGCAGCAGCAGCAGTTTCCACTTGCTGCGGGTTTGGGAGGTCCTGCTGCTGCTGCTGCTGCTGCTGCTCCGGCAGCAGCAGAAACCCCCGAAATACCGGCAGTGGACGTCGGTGAGCTGCTGCTGCTTCTGCAAAAAAATGAAAACTCCCTTTTAGTGTTTTCTGAACTTCGAATTGAAAAGAAAAAACTGGAAAGCTGGAGTCCATGCAGAAGCTGCTTGACCGGAAGATCCAGCAGACGAAGGAGCTGAAGGAGAAACTCGAAGAGGAGTTGAAATTCATGAAAGAAGAAGGTTTTTTGTTTGTTTTTTTTGCACTTTGTGCCCCTTTTTGAATTAATTTTGCTTTTTAGGACTTCTGGAAACCAACAAAGGAGCTGCAGCGCTCCAAGGTGTTGTTTGCAAAACTTGAAAAATTCAAGTTTGAAAAATTCAACTTTTCGCTGCAGCCCCCCGCGCGGCGACGGGACAGGCGGGCGCGCGTGAGAGTCGAAGTTGAATTTGAATTCGAATTGAATTTGAAATTGAATTCATTTCTTTTATTATTATTTTATTATTTATTTTATTTATTTTTTATTTTATTTTATTCTTTTGCAAACTGAATTGCTTTCCAGTCGGGGGAATGCTGCCGGACCTCGCGGCCCCCCTGATCTTCATGGAGCCCCCCCCGGTGACTCAGTCGCAAACGCTGGAGGTTCGCGAAAAAGCTGAAAAGTTGAATTAAAGCTTTTTTCTTTCTTTTAAAATGTTTTTAAACTTTTCTGAAATAAACTTTTGCAAAAAATACTTCTTTTGAGCCCAGGCTGCGGAGATTGCAGAAACGACTCTGGCCCAGATCGGCGACCATTCCAGCCCGGCCATGAAAGCTGTGCGCGAGTATGAATTGCGGAAACTCGGCGAGATTGCGGGAACAACTCTCGAAGTAATTGAATTAAATTTGCGGAATTTTGAAAGTTTTCTGTTTTTGACTTTCAATTTTATTCTTTTTTTCCTCAAACTGCGAAAAATGCCGCGGGTTTCAGCAAATTCGCGAGGAAATCCGCGAGACCGAGTCGGCGATCGAGAAGCGGAAAAAGGAGCGAAACGAACTGACGAACAAGTGAAAAGGCTTTTTCTTTTCCTCCAAAATAAATAAAATTCAAATTAATTCAATTTTTTAATTCAAATTAATTCAATTTCTTCATTTTTGATGCAATTTTATTCCATTTTCTCCGAATTCAGACTCAAGAGCACTGCGCGCGAACTTGCAAAATCCGGGAACCGCCAAATGGAACTCGAGGCGACCTTCGCCAACGCAGGTGCCGCAGCCGCAAATTAGAAACTGAAAATTAAATTAAAATAATAAAATAAAACTAATTTATAAAATAAAATTAGTTTTAAAATTGAGTTTTAATTTCAAATGCAGATCTCCGCGAGAAGTCGAAAGAACTTGACATCCTGGCGAACAAGCTGACGCAGCTGAAGACTCGCGAGAGGAATCTGATTGAAAGAGAAGTGCTGAAATGTTTCTTTCTAAATGTTATTATTTCACTTTTAAATTTAATTATTTTATTTTAATTCATTTTCCAATTTAATTCAATCAAAACGCACTCAGGGGCCTGGAAAGGAAGCCACGGAAGAGCTCGGTGGGAGAAACTGCACTTCTCTAAAATGGAATTAAATTTAAATCTTTTTAATTCTTCAGAAAAAGAAGAAGCAGAGGAAGAAGACCTCGCCACAGAGATGGAGGGCGAGGAGTGAAAGCCCAAACCCCAAACCCTAAACCCTAAACCCTAAACCCTAGGGCGAGGAACCAGCGCCCAAACCCCAAACCCTAAACCCTAGGGCGAGGAATGAGCGCCCACCCCCAAACCCTACACCTCAAACCCTAGGGACGCGGAATGAACCCCCAAACCCCAAACCCTAAACCCTAAACCCTAAACCCTAAACCCTAAACCCTAGGTGGGGGGAGTGCCGCGGGGAGGCTCTGGGGCTCGCGAAGTCCTGGGGCTCTGCGACTTTGGCGAGGGCCTGCAGCAGCTGCTGCTTGCAGCGTTTGCGAGTTGCTGCTTTTGCGAAAATCTGCAGCAAAAACGAAAAAAAAAGGGTTTTAAAATCCCCTTTTGCTGCTGCATGCGCTGCAGCAAAAGCCCCATTCATGGGGCCTCCTTTGCTGCAGCAAATGCCACTTTTTTCCCCCTTTTTGCTGCTGCAAAAACTCACAAACAGCAGCAGCAAAAACAGCAGCAGCAAAACCACCAGTGCTGCTGCTGCTCTCCAGGGGGCCCCCGCGCCCGCCGCCGCCGAGAGCTCTTCGAGCAGTTCCTGATTGAAATAAAAAACAAATTAAATTAAATTAATTAAATTAATTAAATTAAATTAATTAAATTAAATTAAATTAAATTAATTAAATTAAATTAATTTAATTAAATTAATTAAATTAAAAAGAATTAAAAAGAATTCTCAAACCGCCGAAAAAAATGGAAGTGCAAGCCCTAAACCCTCAGTTCTAGCTGCTGCACTTCGCGCCAGGGTTAAGGTCTAGGGTTTAGGGTTTCAAGTTTCAAATTAGGGTTTAGGGTTTAGGGTTTAGGGTTTAGGGTTTAGGGTTTTAATTTTCAGACTAGGGTTTTGGCTTCAGGGCTCGAAGTGTAAACCCTAGGGATTAGGCTTTGGGTAGAAGCGGTCTGCACACGCTCTACGATGCGCGACCGCGTCTAGGGTTTAGGGTTTAGGAACTAGGGTTTAAAACCACGTTTTAGGGTTTAGGGTTTACTTCTCTAATGAAGGCGCCGTCACCGCGGCCCCCGAACACATCCAGCAGGGTCACCACGTTGATGCCCTCCAGCAGCCTGTGCAAAACCCTAAACACTAAACCCTAAACCCTAAAAAAGGGTTTAGATGTAGGGTTTTGCAGCTGCTTTGCGCCTTCCAAACCTTCAACCCACGAGTCTTCACTGCTATTGGTACAACCCCTAGATATCAGCCCTTTCTCTCAACACAGCCCCAAACCCTAAACCCTAAACCCTAAACCCTAAACCCTAAACCCTAAACCCTCAACACACCAGTCTGGCGGAATAACTAGACGCGCTTCGTTTAAGCCTTTGTCGGCCAATTCCGTTGCCACGGCGTACTCGCCTGCAAACATTTAAAAACCTAAACCC